GCGTCGGGGAGCCTCTGCGGCCCTGGAAGCGCGGACAGGGCTGCGTGCGCGGGAGGCAGGTAGTCTGGTGGGAATGTCGCGACCTGCGCCGCTCCGCACTGGCCCAGCCATTTCCTCTCGAGGGAGGCAGGTTTTATGTCTTGTCGCCTGAAGACATCCCAGAGGTGATCAAAGTGAGGACCGACTAGGGTCACACTCTCTGAAACCACGAAGTGTTTGGGGTCTCACTCTGGGTCACATTCTTAAAGGAGGAGGGAGAGATATACTTCCCCTTTTTACTAACAAGCCTGACTGCTTGCCAAAAGCCTGATATTGCCGCTAATTTCAGCTTTTGCAGTGAAGGTAGATTTTTCTAACACCATCTTTGTGTGATTTAGCTGTCCACAGGGAATCAAAATGTGGAATGAGAGGATGAAACTAATCCTTTCTTTTGCACTGTTAGGGGTTGCCATAAACACCATTTGTTAAAAAGCATAATTATGTTGGGAAAGTGCCTGATGAGACAATTAAGCTACATAAACACACTGAAAACAAATGAAAGCCAGAAGACGCCCACACCCCTTGTGTAAAGCAATTTTTTGTTTACGTAAAAACGAGAGGTCTGAGCTGCTTTATTACAACAATGTTATTAATGTCTACAAAAACGTAATGACCGTATCTTTTATGAAGTTTCAGTCTGCGACGATGGTCACAATATGGAAACCTGAACTAAACAGAAAGCCTTGAGCCCCCTCTAGATGAAAGTGATTAGGCCAAGGAACAATCCTGGTGAACAGAAGCCGGTAGATTTATGCCTGGAGAACACTATTAATTGCACTACAGCATGTTAGCTTAAACTCAGGAGCTTAACGTTTGTCTTGGAGTTGGACACCCTTCCCTGCAGTATCTCCAACGTGGAGAACATAACCTGACACAAAATGACCCTCATCAAATATTTGCTGAATGAATTCATGAGGGCCGCATTCACTTTCAGCTGTATTTGAGTCCAAAATAGAATGGCCCGATCTTGAAAAGGGGGATTATTTTCGTTTTGTTTTGAGCTTCTTTTTAAATTTCTTTAGTTCATATTATCATTTGAGAAAAATACCATTCTAGAGTACTGAAGAGAAAAAGCAACGTCCAAAGCTTGTGTAATCTGTTTTCAACATTTTCCACTGATTATTGGGTAACACATCAGAGGACGTATCAGTTTTCAGTTCAAGGTACAGAGTCCTGTGAAAAGATTTTGAACTGATTTAGGAACTTTGGAGATCAAAGTACAAGAGGAACTTAGTCAAATAGTTGTCATTTAGAGCCTGTAAAGAGTGTCTTTTACTTATTGGTATACTGCCTATGGCAGGGCTCATAGAGGTTACCTTTTTTTTCTGCCAGAAGAATCGTTTTTGTTAAGAATCAGCATATTAAATAATCTCCCTCATTTCTCTTTTCTGTGTTTCCCCATTAAATCCCATTTAACAAAAGGACCATGCTTCTTCAAAAACAGGATTAAACTTAAGACAATGCTTATGAAGAAGTTTCACTGACATGATGCAATTCAGACCGAGTAACTTGATGGTTGTTTTCTAATGTTGTTGTTACCATCTTCATATGTTCCTATGTGCATGACCACATGCACGTGGTTTCCTGGTTGAGTCAATCTGAGGATTTTATCCTTGAGGTGTGCCCTGGGAATGAAATCGTGAACTATACATATTATGACTGCCTGGTTTCCAGAAAGCTATGATTTTTTAAAAATGTTTAATGAACACTAAAATATGAATGAACCATAGAAACCAAAATGAAAACTTATTTTTCTCTTATTCTAGAAAAAAATCGCCATGTCTTCTTCCAGACCAAGGCTCCGTTTGGCTGCCTGCTTATTAAACATTTCAGAAGCCAGAAGAAAATACATTGTTGAGAACGTAGCGAAAGCAGCTCTTCTTGAAAAAAATGGTAGGAACAACAAGATAATTGAAGTGAATATGTAGTGTTTTGCTAATACAGTCATTTTTGTACTCTGCTGACAGTATTTATAGAACTCTCTTCTTTCTTCCTGGATGTCCCCCCTTGTTCTTGGGCTGTTACAGCTTGTGCAGGACTCTGGGATGCTGAGATAGATCAGTTCCTCAGATGTGCACATATGCTCTTTTCCAAACGCCTGCATACGCTCAGCAGCACTTCTCTCCACATTGGAGAGAGTGTCTGAAGTGCACATTGTTCAGGATATTGACAGGCTCCCAAGAAGGATATATTTACGTAAAGGTTTAATGTTTCCCTCGTGGGCCATTTATATGATCATTAACAGAATGAGCGTAATTGTACATTATACTTTTATTCAGCAGGTTAAATAAAAAATAAACTTGCCAAATACCGAGTACTTTTCAAAGCACTCCTGCCAGCAAAACCCATGCCGTCATTACAGCGTTAATATTTCTACTGCATTTTCTGCATATAAAGACTTAGGCAGCTGCATTTAAGTGATGTGTGTAAGACCACTCGGCGATTCAGAAGACCGGAACTCAAGTCTCCTTACTCCCTGTGCCAGTATTTACTATAAGAGATACTACTCTTTTTTTTTTTTAAACCCGTTAAAGTATTCATGACATGTAATTCTAGATAGCACTTGTTTTTACTTTCACACACACACAAAATACAATGTATTTACAGACTTACAATCATTGAAATACAAAAGCTGTTATTAAAGCAACAACTTTTTGGCAACAGGTGAGCATTAGGGTCACAGCCCTAAAGCATTTGCGACAGTCTGTTTTAATTTCTGATTGTCATTTTTGATTTGGTTACTGCTTTTCAGGAGAAAGAAATGTTTTTCCCCAGCCCATTTCTAACGATGAGCACATTTAAGCCAACTGTCTTACAACTTTGCGGGAGCTGGAAATGTCTATGAAAATTCCTGATAATTGCTGTTACGGAAACTCTGGAGTCAGGCTGCAGCTGTGCTTTTGCATTCTCTTTGCTGGAAGAGCCAGCTTGGGCCCCTCATTGTCAGATGGTACATCTAATGGGACTGGGTGAATGTGCAGGGACACATTGTGTGATTAAGTGACTGGGCAGAGACATTTGTGGAAGCCACACTCTGATGGATGCCTGGGTCTCAGCTCACAGTTTTTATCAGCTTATTAGTGGCAGCAGCTCAAATGGAATTATAGCTATTATACTCCATTACAAATACCAAACAATTTACTTCTGCTGAGATTCATACTGACAGCTCCTGCCAGCGGTAATTTTTTTTTCTATATGCATGCTTAAGAAATTGCAGGAGAGAATGTTTCATTCTTTCAGCATTTGATTCAATTGAATCATTTGAAACTGAGAATAAAAGCTTTTCAGAAGAAGATTTAGGATGAAAAAATAAAATAAAATCATCTCTGTTCTTCTAGAAGCTTAAGTATGTTGGAAAAATACATTAAAAAAGAGGTTGGATGATCTTGTTCCTTCCCCATCTTTCATGGTTTTAAAAATGCAGGGAAGATAGCACTAGTTAAGAAGATGACCTGTTGTTTTACAAATATTTTAAAGACATTTAGTTTTAGATGAGGAGAATCAAACTATATCACCTATGTTTTTCCCCGTTAAGCAATGTGAAAACATTTAAATGGCCTAAAAGTTCTTATGTAAGGCAACCTGAATTATAAATTTTAGACCTACACCAGGGCAAGGCTGAGTAGATGCTCATTTGGCTGTGAGTAAGTGACATAAGTTTATCTTTTCACATTATTAAAATTAGTAGTGTAGTCGCTGCTGTAAGCTCTGTAGTGCCTGCATGTAACTTATTTTTCCTCTCCTCTGAAAAGATTAATTGTTAAGCTGCCAGGGGACAGGGCGACAAAGGTATAATGGCATAATGAAAGGTTTAATTACCGCCTGAAAACTTTTGTCCTTCACTTTGAATTTGCTTTTGTAGGCATACGAGGGATTTCTAAGGAGCCTGAACCAGGCTTGTAAACTTCAAAAATAACTGTGGGATTATATGTGGCTGCCGTACAAGGGTGTGGCAGCTTTCTCCTCCAGGTTACACATTCAAGGGAGTCACAGGCCGCTGAGGGCTGGAAGTCGTTAACGTCTGAAGGCTGTTGGTGGCCTCTGAAAAGGAGATGGTGGAGTCAAAACAGTTTCTAATAGGCAGGTGCATGTATCCCAGAAATCTCTACTCCAGGCACTAATTGGCCTAACCTGGTTTTTCCAGATGTTAGATTTTGATTCAGACAGTTTGATTTCTGGGTTTTGGGAGGAAAAATTGACAAGGCCTAAAAGATGAGATTGATAAGGAGCAGAATTTAAAGTGATATGATTTGGCGATTGAAAGAAGAGGCTACCATCTTAGACTGAGTTAAAAGAACTTTGGCAAATTCAGTAGCAAGTGCAAGGGAAGGTCTCTCATAGACACCGAAGCCTCATGTCTGAGCTGAGCCATCTGGTTGTATAGAGGACACTATCAGAAGTGGACATTACTCCCTGCGAATTTCATGATCAGTCAATGTCACGTCAAAGGTCACCCCCCTGACTTTTTCTATTAAACTAAATGAAGTTGTAATCAGAAGAAATAAAGTATTAAGGTTTTATCACAGAAAAAAAAATCTTGCGTTTGTGTCTTGTTTTCTTTATAGGACAGAAACATCATGAAGTATCAGTGCTCAATATATTTTCTGATCAGGACTACAACAGATCAGTCATTACAATAGCAGCTTCTGTTGAAGAGTTAGGTAAGATTTCAGGTTCTTTTTTGACATATGTCTTTTGTTAATCTGAATACTCCTCTCCGTTACATAGGGAGTCTACCTCAAGTCTGCATTTCATCATTTTTTCTGAACATGAACATCTCAAATACTTTCCATTTCCTCTTCATTAAAATGAACCTTGGGGTCCCATATTTAATAGCATTATTTCCCTGAAGATGATCCCATATCCTTTGTGGTTAAGAAAAATATCTTTAAGTTTTAACCTGTAAAGTATTAGTGTTGAAGTCAGCCTTGATTTCACTGATAAGTTAACATGAAGTGAAACATGCTAAGCAGTTGTGTTTTGGGTCAGGAGCCTGAAATCTTGAGTTGGTCCATTGGGTGAAATGAAATAAGCTTCAGGCCTCCTGCTGTAAGATTTAGTGGGACAGCTTGAATTTGAAGGATCATAATTGTTAAACAAAAACCTGTATTATCTTGGTAAAGTATTGCTTGATAAAGTGTTTAAAATATTTTCAAATAAACTTGATTTCAACTTAGCAGGTTGTCTTTTTTCAAAAGGTATGTTTGGAAAGCAAAGAGCTGATAGATAATTCCCAGCAAACATGGGACCGATTATCTTCTTTGTTGAGTAGCTCTCTGGCTGAAACGGTCATACTGCACTGCTAATGAAAAGTCACAGTAATAACATAACACTCTGAGGTGTTCACGATATGTATTTAGATAAAATAATTTAATGAAAAACCTAATTACTAGACAAGAGCAAAACTCAAATACTTACACTTAAAGTTTATGTTTGTGTGTATATTTTAATGTAAATTCATAAAACATTCTGAAAATAACAAGGAATTTTATCAGATTAATTGGATAAAATTGAAATATGTAAATTACCTGATCATAAAAAAAATACAAAGTTTTTCAAGACTGAAAACGTTGCATACTTCCTCCACTTTGGGAAGTAAAAAGTAGAAGAAATATGAAACTTTATGACATTTGGTGGGGAGGGAGGAAACATTTATTTTGGATGAAAAAACAATCTTCTATATATATTACAAAAGAAAAACAACTGATGGGACAGTAATAATTATAGCTGCTTCTTTGGATCCGATTGAAAGTTTAATTGATTTTACTGTTTGTTTGTTTTACAATTTTACATTGTGAAGGCGATTCCATTCTGGCAGCCTGCATGGAGGCCTTCCGGTCTATCGATATGGAGGTTCAGGAGGGGATTCACCCTTGCCTGGGAGCAGTGGACCTGATTCCCATTTACCCTCTCTCTGGTGTCAGAGTGGAAGAGTGTGGAGCTGTGGCCAGAAGTAAGAGAAAGTTTGGGGTAGTATGTTACTCCTTAATAGAAACCATTTTCACAAGTCAGAACAGCTTGTGACAATATAATCAGTCACTCCTCGGTTGTGAAAAAGTCGATCTTGAAGAACTGCTTCAACAATGAGCGCAGTGGCGCTCTGTGTCTTTGTGACTCATCCTTCCACTTTCCAGCCCAGGACACTGGGACACTGAATGCTGTGGGATGCGGCAAATCAGTCATTTTGCCCGTTAACAAATTCACGATAGATCATGGGGAAACAACAGTAGTTTCTAAAGAGTTCCTTAGACTCTTTAGGGCAGAATGATGGTGTGTTTTGCCCATCTGTGTCCTATTTTCTTGAGCAAGGGTAATGATGAGGTTGAAAACCCACTTAAATGCTAACTCCTACCCCCTTTTCCCATTTTTCCTCTGATTTTTTTTTTTCCCCATGTGCACAACTCTCTTTAAGATTTTCTTTAGAACTGAACTGTCAGAGGCTTGATTTCAGCCCCAGGGGTAAATTTAATTTGGAAAATTTGAGCTATGTTACTTGAGGTGTTTTTGAATTAGGCAAATTGGGAGAAAAGAAAGACCTTTTGCCTAGACTGTCTAGCTGCACCACGGTTAATTAGGAGATGCAGAGGCTCATAACCTTTGGGGAAAAGTCCGCCTTAGGATGACTGAATACTTCTCTGTATGACCTCAGAAATCCCTCTATGGTGTTGCCTCATTTTTAGATAATAGTGAATTGTTTGGCTCTTGGAATGTAGATTTGGACTCCAGCTAAGCCACATCAAGCCCTAGAAATAGGAAATGAGGCTTGTCTCCAGAGGTGTACCTCACTGCGTGTGCTGCATTTTAATATGACCTGACAATCTATGGATTCTTTCCGGGGAAATCTTGGCCCAAAATTTGCTTTACTTTTCATGTAAGAAGGAGTTAAAACTCAGCATGGAGGAGAATGTGTTTTACACAAAAATGAGTTCAGAATTGTCCAGACCAGAATAATGATTTTAATTGTCTTCAAAACAATTATGTCCAATTACATTAAATCTCAAATTAGCTAGTACATGAAGTTCTTCATTACATCAGGACTAGTCCACCCCAGATGTTCGTCCTGCGTAGAAGACAGTTGACAACAGGAGGGTCTGGACACAGTATTTCTCCCTTCCCTTGCCCTTTTGCTTCATTGGCAGCTACTGTACCTCATGATTTAAACATGGACATTTCTAATTAAATGAGAGCTCAGCTGCATTCTTGAACTAATTTATAACATTTGATTTGAAATATAATAGCTTCAATCTTCATCTGATTAAAAACAGTCATATACTGTACATGGTTACTATTTTGATGCTCCAACATTCAGTTCTTATTTTTACATTCTCCTTTCTACACAGCTGTTCATCTAATATCATCCAAATTTTTTAAGGTTTTTTTTTTTGGTTAACAACACACTCAGGCATTCTTTTTTTTTTTTAAATTAGGCATTCTTATGAGGCAGAAGTACTCAAATCCGAGGATCTTGCTGTTCTCAGAACAGTGGTGGGATGCCTTTCACTAGAATGACCCCTCCTCAGGGAAACCACTTTAAAATAATAATTTAACAAACCTGTTTTGGGAGGAAGGGCAATGGAGAACATTCCAGTGGCATAGAAGATAGTTAATATTGATATGTGTAATTTATATATGTTCCATATGCAAAGATTCTGAATAACATATTTCAGAACTTTTTGATATCACCTGGAAGCTTGCTTACACCTTAAGGAAGAGGTTATTTTTTTTTAAGGTAGTAAAGCAAAGGCATTTTTATTCCATCTTTCCATTTTTCTGCCTCTAATCCTCCAAAAGAACAAAAAGAATGTTAGAAGAGCCACTGTGTACAGCTGGGCAGGTTGTGAACTGAACAACTCTAGGGAAAGGAAGGGGTTCTTAAAGTGGGGTCCAAAGTTAGTGTTCAGGGGACTTATAATGTCAAAATCCACTGCAAGTTTTTATGCATGTGCATTTGTGTATACACACACACACATAACACATACACACACATAATTCTGCATATAATTTTAATTTAAGAACTTCTAGAATAAAGGGCAAGGCAATGCAAAGGCCCAGAGGAGAGAGCAGCCTGGGCTTGAGAACATATAAAAGGATTGCAGTGTGACTGGCCAGAACTTAAGAGATGGGGTGAGGTGGGAAAGGCAGTCTTGGGAATGTTAAGAAATGAAGCTCCAGAAGTAATCAGGGGTGATATCTGGAAGTCTTATATGCCAGGTTAAGGAGCTCAAACCTTTTCCTAAAGGCAGTGGGAACTATTAAAGAGTTTTAAGGAAGAAAGTCTATGATTGGCTTTGAATTTTATCAGGATTACTCTGCCTGCATGACAGAGAATGGACAGGGAGCTGGCAGGCCAGTTTGGAAAGGTGGTGGCGGCCTAAGATAAGAGGGAATGGAGAGAGTGGAGAGGCTCCGTAGGATGCTGGGGTCGGGGGAGCAAAGCAGTGGTATGAAAGCGTCATCACTTACAGATGATGTGGAAAGAGCATGAGTGCATTTTTATGTGCTTCTATTTGGCAGCTGAGTATAAAACTGAGAGCTAGGAGACACAGAGATCTAGTCTATATTTATTTAAAAGCTTATAATTTAAAAAATGTTTTAGACTTTGGTTTTCATTTTCTATAAAAACCACAGTTGATCTGTTAGGCTCCATTTCATTTTTATCTCTATTATGTCTCCAAAATTTTTCTCCTCCTCCATTTTTCCCCTTCCCTGGCCCCCTGCCTTCCCTCTTTCCCTTCTTTCTTCCATTCCTTCCTCTTTTTACTTCTTTTTGTTGTTATCAAAATGATACATGCACATGGCCAAAAGTCAAACCTTAGAGTTTGTTCCCCAAACTCTAAGACTTCCATAGCTTCCCTTTCCCTCTCACTGTGCACATACTTCAGCTTCCTCCCCTGGGCCAAGTACTTTCAGCTCTTTTATCTTATTGTTTAGGATTCAACTCCAGATATCTAAGTATCACACCTACATTGGTACTTCTTGGTTTTTCAGTTTTAGGCACTGTCTATTGTCTTCTCACTGCAGAATGTGAGAATTTAGCTTCCTTGCACCCCACCCCTTATCCCCAACACGTGCACACACACACACACACAAAATGAAGTATTAGGATGTTATTACTATTTTACCCTTTCTGTACAACTTTTTCTTTTTGCTGGAATTGATCATTATCTTTTTGATTGTTTGTTTACTTAATTTTTTATATACTTACCACTGTTTAACCCCAAACTCTGTCAATAATGACATCTCTCCATACATTCAGATAGAACATGCTGTGCATTGAATGTTCTCTGAATTTCATCTTCCTAGAACTGCCTTCTAGAACGCTGACCTGGTCCCATTAGGACCAGTTACCCTCAATCTGCTGTCGTCATGGCAGCTTCCGTTACTCCTACCCTGCGTGTTCCCTTCATCTTTCTCCGTTTGGGATACCTGGTTCCTGAACCCCACGTGTCCTTTCTTCCCCTTAGTGCATGTCCTTGTGGGGGGGCAAAGCCTCTACTAGCTTCCTTTTTTTAAAAAAGATGGGGAAGTACATTTTTGAGAACTTGTGTGTCTGAAAATGCCATTTTCCTTCCTTCACACTTAAATTTTAGTTTGGCTAGGTGTAGAATTCTAGGTTAGACATAGTTTTCCTTTGTTTTGAAGATGTATCATTGAATTCTTATTTTCGTGTTACTATTGACACTTCTGAAGCTATTACGATTCCTGATCTTTGTATGTGATCAGTCATTTCTTTCTGGAAGCTTGTAAGATCTTCTCTTTGTTTCTAGTGTTCTGAAATTTCTGTCACGTGCCTTTGTATGGGTCTGTTTTCATCCATTATGCTGGGTCTGTGGTAGGCCCTTTGAGTCCCTGAAACTTGTCCCTCAGAGCTGCACAGTTCTCTTGAGTTATTCCGTTGGTGATTTCTCCCATTTTCTCAGTTCTTTCTGGAAGCCTCATTATTTGGATATTGCAGCTCTTGTACTGGTTCTCTATATTTAATTTATCTCTCTCTCTTTTTAAAATCACTTTATATTTCTATATTACTTTCTTACAGATTTCTTCTACTTTATATCTCAAGTCTTCAGTAAGTTTTTCACTTCTTCTAATTAGTTTCCAAGTGCTTTTATTTACTCTCTGAACGTTCCTTTTATTTTACTATTTTAAATAACATCCTGGTCATGTCTCCTGAATGCAGCATCAGTGGATAATTTTTGATAATTTCTTCTTTCCTCATGGTATCTATTCTCCACCCCTCTCCCTTCCACACCCCCAGGTCACTTTCTCCTGTTTGTTTGAAAGGCTTTCCTCGGATTTCTGATGATCCTTGGTTGGCTGCTTACTCCAAGAGTGGACACTAAAAGACTGAATGGAGTCTTTTGGGTTTGGTTTGGGTTTGTCAGCTGTTGGTCTACCTGGCTGAGTTGTTTCTTTGGGGAACCCCTATTTCAGGATCTTTGGGATCTTTCCTCTTGGGCTTTTCAAGTTTCCTGGAGAAGGATCCTCCAGTCTTCAGTCTGGAAGGTACACACAGCTGTCCATGTTTTAGGGGTCTAGTTGCAGACAAGGGCTAGAAGAGTCTCAGCATTTAGTGCATAAATATTCCCTTAATTCATCTCTTTTCATTAATCCCCACTGCCCTCAGCTGTGCCCAGTGTCCCCCAGCCCAGACACCGTGTGTTTTACCTCTTGCGTCTTCTGGCAGGGTTGGGGCAGGGCAGCTACCTATCTGTGTGGAGGTGGTGGGATCTAACTGCTGCTTAAAGAGACATCCCACCAGTCCCCTGTTTGGAACTATGCCTTTACCTTCTTTCCCAAAGTGAGGTTGCCAGTTCTATTTTCTGGTGCCTGTGCTGTAAGTCAGGCTGCTTCTCTGCTGTCCGGAGTCTGCTCGATCTTCCACTCCTCTAGTATCTGCTCTCCAAGTCCCAGTGCTGTCTCCTCCTCTTCCATTTCTGTTTGTTTGGGCGAGTC